GAACTTGAACTTGAACTTGAACTTGAACTTGAACTCGAACTTCAGAAAATACCAAAATTCAATCAGGGTTTTGAAAAGACGTGTCGCGATGCAACGGTTATTGCTGATTTAAGAAATTAAAAAAACGCAAGAAAAGGAAAGTCCTTCTAGTTAAAATGCTATTCTGCCACTCGAAGTACTGTAGCAAACTAACTTGCGCAAGCCTGATCGTTGAATTGTTTTAACGTAGATTGACTTTCTATTCTTCTACTTGCGTTCTTCAAGTATTGCGAAGGCAAGATGCCATTAGAGCGTATGATCCAGCGGGCTCCCGTACGACCTGCAAAGACTTGTACGAACGCGTTTCTGTAGTGAAAATTCATGAGGGCATAGATAACGAAGTTACAAGCCGAGTTAGCATAGGCTAGTGTCATGACCAATCGTTGAAGCCATCCAGTTACATACCTCTCAAGTTTAAATGCCCTTATTGTTGTAGTCACGAAGAATGGCATCCACATGACAAAGAAAACGCCAATGACCACAGCCAACGTCTTCACTGCTTTGAGTTCTTTCTTAAATACTGAAAACGTTGATTTACCATTAACTCTCAGGTGAAATGTTTGAACTCTTCTGGTGTTCCTGCGAGCCTCTTTAAAAATTGTTGCATATGCTATGACCATGATGTCGATTGGAACGAAGAAGTAGAAGAAGATAAGAAGGAGTGTGAGTTTGGGATCTTCGTGCCAGCCAATCTCGCATTCTGCGGCATCAGGGTTGAATCTATGCTGAGCAATGTCAATTGGAAGAACAGAAATAATGGACAACAACGAAGACTGGATCCAAATATATGAAAGAACTATGATGACTCTTTTGGACGTAACTTTCGTGTTGTAAGACAGCGGCCATTTGATAGCTATGAGTCGTTCTATGCTGATGGCGCATAAATGAAGAATGGATGAACCACAAGTCAACACACCACACATGGAAGATATCTCGCACCATGAAAGACCGAAAATCCATCTTTCTTTAAAGATGGATATCACAATGTAGACGACTCGTAGGACCGGCACTAGAATATCCGCTACGGCCAAACTGCATACGAAGTAATTGGTAAGGTTCCTGAGATTCCGAAATCGCCAGAAGAAGATCCAGACAAGTGCGTTGCCTAAGGTTATGAGCACGATGAGCAAGCTCAAAGTACAGCCAAAAAGGAAAACTTCTGCCTTGGGAATATTCAGCATAAATATATCAAGGTTTGAATCGTTGACTGCTGTTTGATTAATCATGTTGTAATAGAACTTAGTTAGATTCGGGCTCCCTGGGCAATTGGGCAATCCGACATGAACTTACCACTTATGATGGCTTGATTTTTAAACAAGAGCGTGTTGTCATCCCTTCATCATTGCGCCAAAGTACGCTTAACAAGCTTCATGCTGTTCACCGGGGTCCAGAATTTACTCTCAGACATGCACGAAACTGTGTATTTTGGCCAGGCATACACCAGCAGATCAGAGATCTCTGTGAAGAGTGTATCACATGTGCTCAACACTCTCATCAACACCCACGTGAGCCACTCCAACTTTATCCAGTTCCCACCTTACCATGACAGCTAGTCTCACAAGATCCATTTGAACTCAAAGGTCAAGCATACCTAGTAACAGTCGACCATTACAGTGATTTCTACGAGATAGACCGACTCCCCACTATACAATCTGCAGCAGTAGTCCAAGCTAGCAAGAAACATTTCAGTAGGTATGGGGTTCCTCACACTCTCATAACGGACAATGGTGCTCAATTTACCTCAGATCTTTTTAAGCAGTTTGCCAGCAAGTACAAGTTTAACGATGTTACCTCCTCACCTTATTGGTCACAATCAAACGGCAGAGCAGAAGCTGCAGTGAAGTCTGCTAAGCATATTCTCCTCACAGCAGATGATGTCGACTTGGCCCTACTATCAGTAAGGAACACTGCGCCTGCTGGACATAGTTTTTCTCCAGCAGAGCGTCTGTTTGGTCGTGCTCTAAGGACAAACATAACTCAACCTTCAGTGGCTCTGGAACCCTTCACTCCCCCACGTGACCAAGTAGTGGAAGAGCGTCTACAATGTAAAATTAAACAAAAACAAGCTTATGACAAGCACGCTGGATCACCACTCCCCGATCTCCCTCCTGGAAGCTTTGTGTATGCAAAGCCACCTCCTTCATCTACGGCGAAGGCTTGGATTCCTGGACAAGTAGTTGGGAATGCTGGCCCCCGCTCATACCTGATCAACACTGGGTCAAGACAAATCCGAAGGAATCGTGTTCAAGTCACTCTGGCTCCATCGCCATCATTCCTCAGCTCTAAACCGACAAACTAAACACAAAGGCAAATTCAGTACCCCCAGACAACAACATCATCCTAAATGAATGCACAGTTCCTCCACCATCTTCTGCTATCTCCAGAGGAACAGGTAGAAAGGAAGCAGAAGAGCCACCAGTGAAGGATGAGACCTCCTTCAATCCAACTACTGAACCTTTACCTATTATGACTCAGAGTCCTTCCGTCCATGAATACAGACCAGCTGAACAGACCCCCACACCATCTTCAGATGTAGCTGAGCCACCCAGATTACCCACGGTGCCAAATCATAGAACTGTAACTGTAACTCGCAGTGGCCGAACAGTAAGGCCTCCTGCGCGATACTCAGACTAATGTAGTTTTATTTTCATTTGTTCTGCAGATGACTACAACTTCCCACAACTTTGAAGATGGAGTTTGTTTAGAACTGTATCATTGTTTGTTCCAGTTAGTGTTAAAGGAGAAAGCGTGTAATAGAACTTAGTTAGATTCGGGCTCCCTGTGTTGTAACCCATGATACCTTGCGCCTAGTTTGCTACACCACGAGGTGGCCATGTTGAATTAAAAGATTCAAAACTCACTTTATTCATGCTTATTACAATGTCTCTATCAAGAAAGAAGTTACTTGATAACTTGAATGAACAAACTTGAATGGATTTTCTTYAGCTATAACAAGTTAGAGAAAATAAGCCAAAAGGTATGTCAAAACTAATTCAAGCATCACTTGTCAATGTTTTGTCTTACAGCACAAAATCTCTAACAAGTTTCCTAAAAGAGAATTCAATGGAAGATTCAGAAAAAGTGAATACAGATTAAGCTAAGATCTGTCCCTTTGTGGGAGATGTTAAGAGTGAATGAAGAAGCAGTACGTACCTTTCCGGTCTATAAATAATGGGCGATATGGACGGGCGGGATTAGAAAGCGATACTGAAGTGTGTATCACCTCTTAAACATCAAGACACGTTGGCTTTAGGACCTAGAGAGTTCGATTACAGCTTATAATATAATTATTATGAGCAATTTAGTAAGGCTCAAATAATTTGGAGGCGGTAAAGTAATCTACTTAGGAAGGAAAAGTGTTCTTGAAAGTAAATAAATTATAAAACGACTTCCTGATTTGGAGAAAGGCATAATGCTGGATAATACACTGATTGTTATTAATCTTATCTTGAGTTAAAATACTGTGGAAGTTAATTTGAAAGAATTAACAAACGGCTTGGAAGAGCGGATAAGTTTTGTTATTATTTCAAAACCGGGAAATTGATGTGCATTGAAATAGTAGACGTAATTGTTGACATGGGAATGTTAGTAGACATAAAAAGGAAAGCAAAAAGACGTATCAACGTAACTATTAAACTTTTTTTTTTTTGAATTAAAAGAAAACGATGGAAGAGAAAACCAAATAATGGGAAACCGACCAACCATTCGTCCACCCACCCATCCGACCGACAGACCGACCGATCGACCGACCAACCAACCAACCGATTAGCAGATCGACAAACAATCCAAGCAACTGGCAAGCCAACCAACTAGACTCCCACCGATCAAGCAACCAACCAATTATCAGTGACAGACAGACAAAACCGATTAAAAGAAAGAAAAAAAAAGAAGAAGAAGAAAAAGAAGTCAAGATTAAACATGACAACAAACGAACATGCAACAACATCATATTTATAGTATAATTATATGTTTATCTTATATAAACTTTCAGTATAATTTTAGACTTGATTATAGAGTTTTTCGAGCTGTGATTGGTCTAGCGACCGTTGATTCATAGACGATAATCACCGCTGGAGCGATGATTATATGAGGTTTTCCAAAGTTTTCCAGATCGGAAGTAATACTAAAACGTTTTTTCTTTCTGTTTGTAAATATTTTATAAGAGGAACCCTCTGTAAATCACTTTGTGACGTCGGTAGCCTCAAGAAGGATTATTACAACAAACAACAGCAACAACAGCAGCAACAACAGGAACAACGTACAATCACAGCAACAACAACAACAACAACAACAACCACAGCAACAACGACGACGACGACGACGACAACAACAACATCAACAAAAAGAAACATCTGCTGGAGAAAAACAGAAAAACAAAACGAAGCACGTACTTAGGCTTGTTTATTTTCTTTTGAGAAAAAAACTAATAAAGAGATTAGTATTTGATGACAATCGCGCCAGCGGCAAACTCGTGTCGATCGACAAAACAAGAAAGGTGGAGGGATCTGTGCATATGTTTCAAGAAATTACAAGACTGAGGTACTTCGAGATATCTCCCACGTTGCCCCATCGGGGTTTCACCAAATCTGGCTAAAAATTCAAGTCAGGAAATTAAAATCTATTGCGGTATGTACAACTTATAGACCTCCAGATACTCCTCTGTCTTGTTTGGATTTGGATTTAGCTACTAGCCTTACTTATGTTTCATCGCTTAACCTACCAATTTACATACTCGGGGACCTAAACTGCAATCTCCTGGACAGTAAAAGTCAGTCCTCGAAGGCTCTCTCAAGTTTCTACCGCTCCTTCAATTTATCACAGCTTATTACGACTCCGACCCGAGTCACAGCGTCTTCAAGATCACTGTTAGATGTTATTTTAGCATCTGACATAAAACAAGTTCAAAAGGCAAATGTTATGCATAGCTCTGTCAGTGATCATGACCTAGTTTATGTTATGCTACGACTCAAGAAGATGCGTACCAAGCCTAGTATGTCACCACAAGAAGTTTTAAGAATTATAAGCCTGATGCATTCTACAAAGACGTATCTTTAGCCCCTTGGTCTATTGTGGACATTTTCAATGAAGTCGATAAATTGCATGTCTTTAATTCATTATTTCATAGTATACTTGACCAACATGCACCTATTAAAACCTTTAAAGTTCGCGGAAAGCCAAACCCGTGTGTGACTGATAACATTCGTGAATTAATGAAGACAAGGGACTTTGGCGCAAAAAGGCCAAAAAGACCAACGACCCTCTAGCCTGATCCGCCTATAAGAACTTTAAGCGCGAGGTGAAACACGAAATTAGATTTGCAGAGAAAGAGTTTGTAGCAGACCAAATCCAAAGTAATCCTAATGACTCGAATACTATCTGGAAAGCGATCCGTCTTTGTTATACCAAAGAAATCATCGTCAAAGAGGACCTTTAGCAAAGACAACAAAACTGTTGCAGAAGAATTTAATCGTTTTTTCATCTCTGTTCGTCCAAGTTCTGTTGATAAAACTAAATCTATGGCCAATGACTTCAATTTTGATCTTAATGATGAAAGCTTTGTCCCGAAACAATACCCTTTGTCTGAACAGTTTACTCTCCATACAATAGAATGTAAAGACATTGAAGACATAGTACTGTCCATGTCTTCCAATAAGGCCCCTGGGATTGACCAAATCCCAGTTCGTGTCATCAAAGATTGTCTTGTACCAATTCTACCTACAATCACATCTATTGTTAGTACTTCACTTAGCTCTTCTACATTCCCATCTTGTTGGAAAACAGCTGAAGTAACACCCATACCGAAAGAAGGCGACCACGAACAAGCAAACAACAACAGACCCATTTCACCCCTACCGGTTTTGTCTAAAGTTTGTGAAAGGGTCGTCCACAATCAGTTTTCGTCGTATTTAACTTCAAAAGCATTGTTATCAAAGAACCAGAGTGGGAATAAAGCGTGGCATTCGACTGAGACCTTTGTCATCAAAACAACTGATGAAATTTTGAGCGCAATGGATAAAAAGAAATTATCTGCCATTGTACTGTTGGATATGAGCAAAGCCTTTGATAGTATCAGTCACAAGATCCTGCTGACAAAGTTACAAGATGTAGGGGCTTCTCATTCACTTATCCAGTGGTTTGGTAGTTACCTTAGTGAAAGACATCAAGTCGTTAGGATCAATTCAGCAGTCTCTGAGCCTCTCCCTTTGGTCAGCGGTGTTCCCCAAGGAAGCATTTTGGGCCCTCTTCTTTTCAGTATTTACACTAACGGCCTCCCTTCTGTGTCTAAGAAATGCAACTCACAATGCTACGTAGATGATACGAAACTCCTCATATCTTTTCAAGTGCAAGACAAACAGTCCGCCATTTCTGACCTGAACGAAGACCTCCTTAACGTTAGGAACTGGTGTTTTAACAACTACTTGCTCCTAAATCCAACCAAGACTAAGCTCATGGTGTTTGGAAGTAGGCAAATGTTGCCTAGATTACAGGACTTTACTGTATCTCTACAAGGAAAAGACCTTGTTCCTGTTCAAGAAGCCAAAGACTTGGGTGTGACTCTCGATCCTCATTTATCATACGACGAACATATCATTAATACTGTTTCTGCATGCATGTCTCGCCTTGGACAGATTAATCGTGTTAAACATGCATTTGAAAAAAAGACTCTCTTAACTGTTATAAACACTCTAGTTTTCAGTAGATTATATTATTGTTCTAATGTTTGGGCAAATTCATCATTGCACAACCTTCAAAAATTGCAGGCCGTCCAAAACTTTGCATGTCGAATTGTATGCGGGGCTAGGAAATATGACCATATCACGCCTTTCTTAAAACAATTAAAATGGCTTCCAGTCGTTCGCCAATTATATTATCGTAGTGCTACCTTGGCGTTTAAATGTATGACCGGCAGTGCCCCAGAGTATCTTTCGTCGCAGTTTGTTAAACGCGCAGAAATATTAAAGCAATCACACTACTAGAAATTCGCAAAAACTGAATATTCCTCTCTTCAAGACGGCCAATGGCCAAAGAACATTTTATTATAGAACAGTAAATCTCTGGAATTCTATCGAATCGTCCCTTAAACTGTGCAGAAATGTTAATATTTTCAAACAGTCGCTTAGATCTAAGTTATTACGGGAGTTCTTAGATAATTAGCTCTCCAGTTTATTAGTTTATTTATTTATATCTTCATA